GTGAGCTTACAAAGGCTGATTCGCCGCGTTTAAGTAGAAAAAGCTTAACGCGAACGCGTTGTACTCTGTCTGAGTGAGTTTTAACACGATTGGTTGAAGCTATTTGTTGATTTGTTGATACTCGCCTTTCCTATGAATTTAATATTGATCTGTTTAGTGTTTACTGCTGCTTTGTTTTTGTCTGCTTAATACCACTTTTGTTCTTTTTTAGTTTTTTGATAGACTGGAGGATATTTTTGTAAAATTATTTGCTTTATTTTCCCTTACGTTCGCTCTGATGTTATCTACTGTCTACCGTCATTTTGGTAATCTTTTGTATATTTACCTAATTTTGTTTTTCTTGCTATTCCTGTTATACACAACAAGTTTTCTTTGCTTCTTTTTTCCTCTTTTGGAAAATGCGAAAATGTACGCGTACATAAAATGATGGTCTCATATTTACGGTCGTGTGGACTGCTTATTGAAATTGACAATGCGCATCAACTGAGAAATCATAAAAGAGTCGCATTAGTGATGAGGTAAACAAACCAAACTAATAAGCTAATACATAGCGCAGTGGTTTTTTCACTCAGTCACAAACTTATTTTATGCTTTCACAAAAGAAAGCCTTTGTCATGAAGAAGAAGAAGAACAACAAAACTATTCATCTGTTCAAAGTTTTCTGGTAAATGCCCAGAGTTTATCCTCAAAGTGTATGGACAATATAATGACTTCTGATGATAGGAATATGCCGCTTCCTCTGTGTTATTGACTTCTTGGAAGTGTTCACATGTGGAGCATGTTACCATTCCCGTTATGAGAGCCTCTATATTCAAAAAGTAGTTAATTTCTACGCCAAATTACTGTAATGCGGGCTCGTTCTCAGCATAGTAAAAGTAATACTTTCCTGCCTTATAAAGCAGGAGGAGCTCTTCGTATGAATTTAGTATGGGTCAGTATTATTTGGCGATTTCTGCCAAGAGCTTTTAAAGATTTTAAATGCTGTCCATATAAAGAGTGTTAAACAATAAGTCAAGATGATCAGATCCAACCCATTCTCAATAAGTTTCGTCTATGGTTCAACGCATCTCAGTACAAAGATTTTAGGTAAATTCTTCACAAATTGCAGCCTGCGAACCCGACATTAAGCTACCTGAACAAACGTCACATAATAAATCTATATACACTCCTTGCGGGGGTTACTTGCATATATGCGTGCATACTGCTTTGAGCATTTTGATGGCACGGTTAGATATTTAGCAGCGACACTTGCATCACTGGGAAGAAGTTTTACGAAAATTATATTAAAAAATCGTATGGTATTTAATACATCAAATTGTTGAAGAGGAAGAAAAAGTCACACTTGAGTACATTACATTACTGCCAGTAATTTCGATGCCTACCATAAACCGAATAGTGCATGCGTATCTATGCGTCTGCGAGAGTTCGTCTCATTTCCAGGGTGAGAATATGTAATATTCCTAAAAACCCTACTCTGCTCATCATAAAACACAATGCATAACAATAGATATATTTAATGCAATGTGCAATGTGTAAGGCTGTTTTTGGAACTTTGAAGCATATCTTGCCCTAAGTGATATTACGCGTTAAATTCCATAGGATATTGTATTCAATAGTTAACGAAATGCTTTGACTTGCGCAACGTTTCCGCTCTTTCATAAGACACACGGATACATATATGCTCCATCACATCTCATATTACGAGATTTTTATTGCGCTATATCATCACAAAAAAAATTACAAACCTCGTTAATACGTAAATGTCGAGAAAATAAACCAAAATAAAATGAGATAAGAAAATAATTGGAAAACTCGGAGAGATCGCTTTCGCGGAGTGGTCATAGTTGCCTGGCAGACGAGCGCGTGATAACGCGAATAACACGCACATATATATATATAACATATAATATATATAATACATATACATATCTACAATCAAGCTAACCGCCAATTTGATTAAGCGTCGAACAAAGAAGTGCGTGTTCATATCGAACACTTTTTACTCTCACAGCACAGTGAATCATTTGAATCAGCTGACTGGTAGAAGAAGAAGAAGACGACCTAGAAACGTTTGGACCAAAGCAAAAGATATTCAAATCATTACCTCATTTCTCAACTGCTCTTCGCTGTTAATTTCCTCCTAAATATTTTGTTGTTCTCCATTATTGTCAAGCGCTCACGCTTTATAATACGCAAAACATTTATAGTCTAGAATCAAGCTAATCGCCAACTTTATGAAGCTTCAAAGAAAAGGCTTCACATCCTCAATGAATCTTTTACTAATCAAGACGGTGAACTAGCTGTGGGGTAATTGCGTAACTGAAAGTTAGAATTCGCTTTTCCATTCAGTCGTTTAGCAAAAGGAGTTGAAAACCAAAACGAGAACTTTTCGCACGTTATCACCCTCCTGTTGTGGTTTTGCGGACTAGCAGATATCGTAAATGAGATTCGTTTGCTTATTTTCATCCACAAATTTCAATTGAATTAATATGAAGTTTCCGCAGCGTATTTTTGATTCGCATGCGGTCGGGAAGCACTGTTGGTTGAATTTGTCATGAAAAAGACCCGAATAACAATACAAAATAAGCAAGAAGACAGAAGGTCATGAGACAAAAGTCAAGAGTTATTCGCTCACAAACTTGCACAGCGCCTAAGGGACATAATGCTTGACGCTCAAATATCCTTGCTTGGCCCGACATAAGAAGTTCATAGATCAGATTAGTCCTGGAAAACTTAGTCTTACCACTTTTTAATTACAGCGAAAGGACCTAAGAAATAGTTGTTCAACAGTGATGTTTAAACAGTTATTATAAAAATTGGCATTAAGCTATGTCTGGCTGATGAATTCACAAGCTTTGTGATGTGACGTACTCGTCAAACTAAAAGTATGCTATAAAAATATATTTTATTCAAAATAAAATCTATTGTTTAGCATTACTTCTCCTAGTTTTAGGCAGAATGTGAATTCCCTGGATCTTCTAAATTCATGTAACGTTGCCACACTTTTATAACAAATTCACTTAAAATAATCGAAGACTTAATATATCTCGCTCATACCCCAGGAGCGTTAATCGTTTATTTTACATTTGATATAATTAATAGCAGAACATTTCGTTTAATGAGACGCAACTTACGAGTATCCAAAGTCTTGATATCGTGTCGTCTGCCTAAGGCATCCATTTTTTACTTTATGGCCACAAAAATGTTAGGTCTACTCGCCCAGGCAATAAGTTATCGATTGAATTCAAAGCTACTCAGAAGAAGTAATGCTTGGTGTTTATAGCGGTGAGGGCGGTACGTCCCAAGCTCAATGTTGCTAGCGTTTCCTGAGCGTGTCTTGTCGTAGGAGACGGAACGTCTCGTATTGATAACAAGTCACAGTATCACAACTATCCCCGCTTTTCGACTCAATTGCATCAGTTGTTGTTTGTAAATTTAACTTAGCGATGATCATTGTAATATGGATTTACTATCTATCTAACATGCACAAATGAGATCGCAATGGACATTTAGCTTGAACGTCCCTGTTACCTTTAACCACTTTTACTTGGGTAGAGTATCGCAAAAAGTGTTTATCGCATATCATGGTTCAGCGGGACTGTCCTTCAAATTAAACCGAAAATCGGTGCTACCGGCAAATGCCTGTTTCCGGTACAGAATCAGACCTTTACAAGGATTACGAAAACTATCCTTACAAGTAGTAGATTCAGATGAAAAACTCACAAGGTCATTTAACACTAATGTATGGATATCAGCGAGCGCGACTCTTGGAAAACAACGCGAACTTACAAAATCCCCAGGAATGTTGGCCAAACGCTCGTTCTAAAAACTTGCAGTAAATTGTTTCTAGTTGATGTGTTTACTATTGGCCCATGTAGGGATGGCTTAAGATTTGCTGTAAAGTGATTTTTCTCTTTTTTTAGGGTAAATGCAACCTACAGCTACTTTTCAGATATTATTTGCTGGCATTTGTAAATCTAAACTTGTGCTCCATAATCATTGGGGAAGTGTTTTTAACTCTTACTCCACGACCGACTTGCTGATCTATACTTTCTCGAGTTAACAGATTGGTTATCACGTGATACGTTACTAAAGATGATTACCTAAGCTATGTACCGAATTCGATTAACGTTCACGTGTCTCCTTGTATCCTTAAAGTTATTCAGAGTTTATTATTTTTCGCTTCTCAAGGTAAAGAACGTCTTTTGTGTAGCGCTTAATATAACTTTCAATTATTCAAACTCTTGATATCTTGGTAATGAATTATGCCGTAAAGTACCATAAAGATAAAAGCCAGCATCGTTTCGGTTTAACTTTCGTGTATAATTTACTTTATTTTTATTTTCTCTCGATTAAAAAACTTAATCAATGCTAACAGATATATGTGAGACGCTTTTAAGATAGATTTCTAAATTCTACATATTATTAATTATATGTACAGTCATGCATACATATAAATGAGTAGTATATGGATTAGATATATACATATATATGTGCTGTTTAAGTATTGCTTTTATTTTGTGTTGAAATTATGCATAAAAAATATTTGTTCGTTACAACGTATCGTAGTGGGGAGCGTAAAGGATGTCGAGAGATAAGGATTTCATTTCGTAGAGAGTAGTGTGTGCGATGGTGCCGTTACTTTTAGTCGGGGGCATAGTGTGTGTCTGTGTGTGTGCGTGACAAGGTGTATTAAGGTGGAAAAAAGAATGCATGGCACACATTTTATTTATTTAGTTTTCTCATATTTTAATATTAACTTAAGATTTATGAAGGTTTAGTTTGTTTTGCTTTTAGTTAAAAAGGTTAAGAAGAATTAAAAAACTACATCTAACTTACCAGTTAGGTTATCACAGTTGGAACTTAATTTTTATATGCTTAACATAGAACTTATTTTCTAAAAAAAATTTTGTATTATTATTATTATTATTATGATTTTTGTTTTTTTATCTGTTTACTATTATTATTATTATTTTATTTTGCTTTATACAAATCGTAGCCATAAGCTGATTTTTAATTTTTAAATAAGTTACCACAGTCTTTAATTGTTTTTGTTGGGATTTGTAAAGATATTTATGAAACTGGAATAGCTCTGTAAAGAGGAAAAGACGTGGCAACTAAACAAATGCACTAACGGTGTTTGGTTTTAGAAAAAAACGAAAATGTACAAAACTCTTCACGCTTCACGCTTCACTGAACATCACTTAGTAGCTATCAGACAATTAATTATAAGTACTTAACTACATATGCGTACAAACAATTTAAAATTTTCTTAAATAAATTAATTTTTCTTTGTTACTCATAATAATGCAGGCACTTCGAGGTTCTTATGCTAAACTAAAACATTCTCAATATTATATACAGTGGCGAAGAGAGCAAAGTCATGTATGGGGAGTGCAAAGAGCGAAAAAGCTAACAAAGAAAGAGAGATAGAGTGTGCAAGAGAGAGTGAGAACGGGAGCGGGAGCGTGAGACAGAGGGAGATTAAACTTTAATGGGCAAGATTACTTAATATGCTGCTTCTGGCAGTGATTTCTTCTCTCTCTCTCTCTCTCTCTCTCCTTCTCCCTCTCTAGTCTTTTTCCTTTTTTTGTTTGAAATCTCTCTCTTGCCTTCTTTATTCTCAAACTCTCGTCTCGTTGCGGTGCAAGGGTTGCAATTCTCGTTGGGTATCATTATAATATTCATGATCTGAACTTGTAGGCTCCGAGGGAGCTATTGTAATTTCCAAGATAGTACCCTGACTATCGTGTGCATTATTGTTCACCATCAGCCCCGTTCTGGGTACCATAACTGGTATGCCCAGTGTTTGGGTGGGTATTGGTGCCTCTTGATCATGTACTAAATTGGTGGTTGTATTTAACAGATATTCGGGATTATCTACACTGGCAGGCACTCCAATCAAGTCCATATAGCCCCCTGGCGTCGCGCACATGGCATTGTTAACGCTAGGGTTATTATTATTGTTATTGATATTATTATGATTTAATCCGCCCGTAGCCGAAACTTGGCAAGTAGGCATTAAATAATCATCTTCATCTACTGGTAAATCTAATCGTAAATTACCCACACCAACTTCTCGTGCATTAGAATCTGTTTCATCACTTTCGTTAGATGAGTTTTTATTCATAGGATCTTTACAATAACGATTTAATTTGGGTACTTCTTCAGAGCATTCATGATTGTGGGTACCTCCGACATTGGTTTTCGGTTGCAGGTAATCATCAGCTTCAACCATAGTCTCGGGACCTTCGAATGTCGGCGCTAGTTTTCGTATTAAGTCTTTTTCATCTTGACTGGTGTAAGCGGGTAGTCGAGTAAATTTATCTCCGGGTATAGCCAAATAGCGACCCGGATCACGAGCATATTCAGCGAATATATTTACTAATTGCTTAAAAGAAGGCCTCACTTCAGCATCTAAATGCCAACAAGATAGCAAAGTGCAGTAAATATCTAAGGAGCATATCTCCGGTTGATCGAGTTTCAGGCCAACTTCAATGAGATCAGGTATATCTTTGGCGGGTATATTCTCATGAGGTCTTTTACCAAATGTCAATAACTCCCAGATGGTAACACCAAAAGCCCAAACATCTGACTTACTCGTGAAGATACGATGGCGTATACACTCTAACGCCAACCATTTAATTGGCATTTTACCACCCGCCGCCTTATATTCGTTTGAGTCTTGATTTAAGAGCTTTGCTAAGCCAAAGTCCGTTATTTTTACACATGACGGCAACTGCACTAAAACATTACGCGCTGCCAAATCTCGATGCACTAAACGCTTCTCTTCCAGATAAGACATGCCTTTAGCTATTTGCGTAGACCAATTTAGCAAAGCTTTTGAACCAATTTTATCACGATTATTGCGTACGTAGTCCAGTAAACAACCCAAGGGCATTAACTGAGTGATCAACATCATTTTGGAAGTCATGCAAACAGCTAAAAGTTTGAGCAAATTCGGATGCTCCACGGAAGCCATAATGTAGGCCTCCCTCAAAAATTCCTCACTGGATTCAGCTCCCGAGGATTTTAGCTCTTTAATGGCTACGGGAATTTTAACATTTTCACCCTCTGGCACCCATACGCCTTTGTAAACGTGACCAAAGGCCCCCATACCCAAGAGACCGCCCTTTCTTAGCTCAGCATCTTTGACTATGCGTAACTTTGATAAGTTTGCTCCTCTGTTGGAGGGGCTTAAGGGCTCTGAATCCTCACATCCGGTCAAGACCATGCCCATTTTTACAGCTTCTTGTTTAGCTTTAGTTTTCTGTCGACAGATATACGTGACTACACTTAGGATGCCCACCACTAACACCAGCGTAACAAAAGCAATTATCAGGAAGAAATAATTGTCGACAGCGGCGGTAAGCTTAGAACCCTTAGGCGGTACCGCTGAACAGAAAGTGCCAATGTGAGGTGACTGATAGTTGACGTGTGAATATTCCGGCGGACATTTGGAAGTACAATTGAAACTGGTAGAATTGTCGTAAGGATCACCATCTCCGAACACTTTAAAGCTACGGCAAGCAATGCAGTCGTCTGATCCACGACCAGTGCAACCTTTGCACTCGGGGTGACACATAAAGCATTCGCGGATAACTTCGTCAGCATAATGATCAGCTGGACACTCGTCCTCGCACTGTTCGTCTCGTTTATAACCTGCACATTTTTGACAAACTTGCTCATGGAAACCATAGCCACTGCATAATTCACAGCGAGGATGGCATTTCCGGCAAATGGCTTTACCTGCTAAAGGTTTGAGTTTGCCTTGTTCACGGGGATTCACATATTCCCAATAGTAGCCGTCCGGACATTTATCGTTTTTCATAAGACAACGTTCCACCGATCTTCCATCTGAGCTTATGATCGCTAGATTACATGTTTTACAACCGCCCGGTCCTATAGTGTTCTTCGGTCCTGTACAGCCGTCGCAAGTGGCGTCACAAGAACGACAAATGCCATAATCGGAATATTTGCTTTCTGGACAAACCGTGACGCAACGATTGTCGTCACGCACATGAACACACTCATCGCAATGTTCGGCATCAGGTCCGGAGCAAGTAAGACATTCTGGGTGGCATTGTTTACACGTTTTGGCATCAAACTTGTACGCACTGAAAAAACATGTTTCGGTTAAACTCTTCAATTCTGACGAGCAGATTATTACGTACTTGGTGATATTACGGCAGTCTGCAATGCAAGTGCCATTAAATTCGAAATTTTTACATTCCAAACATTGGTCTGATCCCGAACCCCAACATCCAGCCCCATTACATTGATCTGAGCAAATCAACCCGTCTTTTTCTAGAGAGAAGTAAAAAAGCATGAATTGCAATTCATTTATTTAAGATTATCGGTAAGATGAAGTGAGACTTACTGCACTCTTCTTGATTGCGATTCATTTCTACTACAATACCATGATCGGTTGATTTTTGTATTTTGGTCCAATCTATGTCTTTAACGTAACAGATCTTATCATTGTGTTGTATAACAACCGAGCCGGCGTTAATGCGCTTCAAAGATTTCAGTTCCAAGCTTTCAAGAGAAGACTTGACTATAGATAAAGAAGCGAAATAACTTTCCATAAGTTGGCGTCCATGTATCACTTCGAGATTACGAAAATAGGAAAGATTTTTAAAATCAGGATGAGCGCCTTCGATATCCAAATATCCGGTGATTTCTTTCACGGTAGAAAACACTTCCATACGATCAGGATGCATGGCTATATAGCGTGGACCTAAAGTGTAATTTTTATAAATATCCTGATAACCGGAAAAAGTTTGGTCCAAAACACGTATAGAGCCTTCAATGACGGTGCAGCCCCGGTAAGAATCAATGTTACCCGAGTGAAGAACAGCTCGTCCAGGACAAGTTTTAGGGCAGGGGCCGTTACAAGGAACACATTCACCATCCCTGGCCATTTTATCAGCCGGGCAGCTGCGTACGCATGCTCCATTATCTTTAAGTAAATGTTCAGGGCATTCTTTGACACAAGTGGCCCCGTAAGCATATTTCCCCTCGGGATTGGCTTCCCATAAATAGTTGGTTGGATTGTATTTCTGCATGGGTGGGCATTCCTCTTTGCATACACCGTCATCATAAAAGTTTTTACAGGCTATGCACTCCTTCTGAGTGGGTCCCGTACAGCCACCAGCACAAAACAGATGACAGCATTCACGTGGGCGGGGTCCAAAGCAACGGCCTTGAGCGCACTGAGGTGAACAATTGATTTTGCTGAATTTCTGACAATTATTGGGACCCTCTCCCCAGCAGCCACGCTCACAAGACTCATGGCATTTAGGGCAATCTCGCTCAGGTAAAGTGAAATTGTAAATGTAATTGTATTTGTACTTATCAGGTGAGCCGGAGATTATCTCGGTCCAGTCTATGCTTTTGATATGACAAAGATTGAAATTATTGAAAAAGCCAACCGAACCCTGAAGTATGTCACGTAAGGCGGGCATTTCCAAAGTGAACATTTTCGAATAAGTCACAAACAAAGCGAACTGCTCTTCCTGGACATTAAGATTAAACAATGTACGTCCGCGTATGATTTGAAGTCTAAAAGAAAGCAAACATGAATTATTGAAAGCATAAAGAAAAACACAATTGTGCTCCATTCATACACGTAGTACAGCTGCTTAGACAAGACATGAACCAATTCGTTGCTCATTTTTTAAATTGCATTTATTCTCACCTTGGGAAGATGACTTGCTTAATGTCAACATGACTGATGAGTATATAGCCCGTTACTTCACGTATATTCTCCAAAAAACTTAAATCCAAATTTGGATCTTGCAGCCATGTCAATTCCAAATTACCGTCTACGTACGTACAGTTATTATAGCGATCGCGCAAGTTTCGATAGTGATGCTCACGATTCGAGGGCACTGATAATCGAGATTTGGTACCAATGCAAACTAAAATTAAACAAGAAGGTAAATAAACTCAAATCATTAGAGATCGTTTCCTTTTTCTTTTTCGGTTTTTCGGTTTTTTTATTTTTTGTTTTTGTTGTTTAAAGAAAACTTAAAAAAGAAGCAGAAAAAGCGAAAGAGTTCAATACCAATGGCGCCATTTCGTTACAATAAGAACAACAACAACACTGCAATAAGATCAGAAACCATGATAGACTTTAACCTTAAATGGCCTTTAAGTCATCTATTGGTTTCACTGTTGTTTTGCCGTTGACGCTAAGCATCGCTTGTTCACTGTAACTTTGACTTTATTTGGTCAAAAGAACTTCTGCTTTTAATTATATACATAAAAAACAAAACAAAAATCACGAAAGCAAAAAGAGAAAAGAGCTTAATTGATATATGATTTGTAATTGAAGAAAAGAAAGAGAATCAATTCGAAAGATTCTGAGAGAATTCGTTATATCAGGCTGCTTGTGTATGTGTTTATGATTCTTGTTACTGTTGTTATGGCGACTTTTATAGTTTTATGTGTTTATTGTTGTAATAAATTTGTTGTTGACAATTATGAGCTCAACTTTTAAGGTGCAGCAGCGGCTTTACTATAATTTTCTCTTTTTTTTTTCTTCTCATTATTTTTACCGACTTTTGGTATACATTTTTTCAACAAGTTTTTTGCTTAAGTCTTTTATTGAAGACAATAAAGAAACAAAACTATACACACTTTAAGGCGAATTTTAGGTGTCAGCTACCTTAAGTTAAAATATGAAGATCGCATTTAACTGGAACGGTATGTTTCCGCGATGGAAATAGTATGTTGTCTAAAAAGTATTGAGCTTGATTCCGACAATGTCAGTTAAATGAAAAAATGAAAGTGAAACAGTCATTGATGCCAGTTGTTGCAGATTAAAGGATAAAATGAGAAAAATATCTTGTCTAAAAAATATTGCACTTAATACTAGAAATTCCAACTCACGTGAATATGAGTTAAATGAAAGAATGAAAGTGGAGCTCTGTCTTGGGTCTAAATTAAGGGGTGAAATGAAATTACTGTCGTGTCTAAAATATATTGAGTCTAATACTAGAAATTCTAACATACATGAGTGTGAAATAAACGAAAAAATGAAAGCAAAACTAATTGTTGAATGCTAGCTGTACTGCACTAAGGAATAAAATTAAAGAATTACGATCTCTCAAAAATACTGAGCCTAACGCTGTAAATTCCACCGTACGTAAGCATGAATTAAATGAAAAAATGAAAAGAACCTCAATATTTTTTGAATGAATTACTGTATAAAAATTTTTAAGTTTTTTCTGGAGACACCTTCACATATTTGCCTGTCAATCACGACAATTTCTGTGGATAATGAACCATAAGTAGAGTAAGTCAATTTTCAAACTTAATAATTTTCGATGTGTGACAAGCGACAAGTCACATTTAGAACACCCTTACCATCCGTCGAAGAACAATGTAGGTTCAAGATAAATAGGAGATTTTAAGATAATCTAATTAAAGTCTATTGCTTCTTGTAAAAAGTACTCTTTTATTATATTAAGAAAGTTTGCTACTTGAGTCTTTTGTTCGTTTTATTGTTTGTAACAAATGCAAAAAACACGATATCTTATTATGAACATTTCTGTTCTTTTTTTTGTTTGCTTCTTATAAAATTCCAAAAAAATTGAAATTTTCTTTTTTCTTCAGTGTTCTCCACACAAACACCTGTTGATTTTTATAAACTTGTAAATTTTATCATAAAACTTAGCCTCGTAGGCATGCTTAATAATAGAGTAAACGTAGGCGTTTTACAAAGGGTTTATGTGAAGACTTTTACACAACATTTAACGTATGATTTAGAAATATCATTACTTAAGAAAAAAAAAATATGCTCACTTCATTAAAAATGCATTACGAAAACCTGTACATCAAACATTGTAAATATCATCGCTAAGCTAGCGATCGTTAAACAAAAATAGCATAAAATAAACCTACATTCAAACCTGTAGGTTGCTTGGCCAATATCTTGTCTAAGCCTACTAATTATCTGTCTAGTTAAGAGTTTAAATTGAACAAAGTGGGCGTATGAATAAAAAATGAAAAGGGAGTTCTGTATAAATCTTTTCTTTTTTTTTTTTACTCGAAAAAAACTGCTTTATTTTTTAAATATAAATTTCAAATTATTTATAAATAAAGCCATGGTTTCAAGTTGAAAAGCATTTTTGGTTTGGTTTGTTTTTTTTTTTTCATTCTTATTTCTATTTTAATTTTTTCCTTCTTTTTGACACAGCATGACATGAAGCACGATTTTTGTGGTAACATTTCACAGACTCCATAAAACGAAAAACGTGAATTGTCAAAAAAATGCTTTAACAAAAAGCCGCCTTTAAAACAACACCACTACCACCGTCACCACTACACGAACAAGTGGGAATACGGTAAAATAATAAAAACGATTATTTAATACCTTATAATATATATATATATATATATATATGTATATATGTATACATATATGTAAAAAAATACTTGTATATATACATATATATATATATATATATATATATACATACATATATGTTTATATATAGGAATTGAAGAAAAATATATTTTTATTGTACATATTTTAATCAAAAAACATATTTGATAAAAATTATGTTAAACAATTATTGTAACTACGAAAGCTACCTTTTACTACTAAATTTCCGATTTAAAGCTAAACTCAGGCTCGCTATATTACCCGAATTAATTAAAAATTAATCCGAATTTTCATTTCGAAGTTTGGTAACAGACGGGCGCCAACTCCAACACCTTAATACGTAAATATGATCTATGACTGCGGTAGAAAGGTGTACTCCGCCCATCTTCATCCAATCGAATTTGAAAGCGAAGATATACTATCATGTATAGATATACTATTATATATACAAAATATTATCTAATTTAGCTACTTATGGTAATATTCTTACTAAGCCAATTTCTTCATCTTAATAACCTAAGCAAAGGAACTAAGCATTCCAGGAAGCTGAAATCTTAAAATATTCTGAGGTTAGAAATCAGTCGCAGAGCATTATTTCGTAAGGTTTCCAAAAAATAATTTCGGTGACGGAATGATAAAAAGATGGAACTCTGCTATTTTTGGATGCTCAAGCATCAAGTTTAACGCAGCCCTGATATAATCGTTGATTGCTTAACTTAACTTTGCTTAAACTTTCAATAGCTGTTAAGTCTAAATTTTCCGTGGCTTCGAAGCCGAAATTTTCAACATCGTCTTGGAAGGTTATAGATAACCTTTCAGCTCTCACAATTTACAAAGTTTGTCAAGTTCAGTGTACAAGCTTTAAGTTTTCAGCGTATGTAAACTGTAAGCCTCCAACGGCTTGTAAGCTTAAGTTTTCAACGGCACCTTTCGCATGCTTTCAACGATTTAAAGTTTGAACAAGCTTAAGTGTATAGAAGCTTTAAGCTTTCGATAGGAATATAACGCCTGTTTTATACCTGAAAACTATTGCATGACTATTGCACTGAAACTAATATTTGATACGAGTGCTCTGCAAAGCTATATCTATGAATAAGGCTTAGAACCGAGAGAAAAATTTTCCTATGTTTGTAGTGTTGATTGATTAGCACCTACTTCTGCTTCTTTACCTTAAAAAGTCCCTGAAAGTAACAGATTCCCCAGTAGGGATGACATCTATGACATAAGTTCAGTGGCCATGATAGGAGGTTTTCGATGAGGTTTGAATGAATAGAAGACCGAAATCAATGACTTCATTCATATACTTATGTAAGATGGCGGACTGCAAATGGTAGGGTATTTGCGTTCATGATATTGCTTTTTTTGCATTATTAATTTCTATCTTACCTTTCGTTAGAATACACATATACAACACAAACACATACAAATACCACTTAATTTGAATGTTGTTCAGCATACAAGAGATTATAAATATTATGTTAAGTAATGCGTACCAATACTGATAGATATGCCGTAAGAGAATCCCCAACAACAAGAATAACAACAACAACAACAACCATTTTTAAGAAAAATATTTTATGAAAAAACCAAAAGAAAACACACGTAAGGAATCCAGATGTTGATGGGTTGTACATAAAATAACAAAAATAACAAGAAGACACATACATGTACATAAGACCGAGTATGTGAAAAGGAACAGAGAAAGCGAACAACAGCGCGCAGCGAATACAGCATAACACAGCAAATACCCGTAGATCACACAAGATAGTTTATTTTATTTATTTATTTACTGTTTTTTCTTTTTTGGATTCTTAAAGAATGTTTTCCACGAATCCCGAGAACAATAAGATAAAAATAAGCAACACACGAAACGTAGGAAAGGAAAAAAGAACAAAAACCGGCCTGGCCGGGCAACTTGAGGGCATTTGAGCAATGCCAATCAGCCAGCTTGCCAGCCAGTTAGCCAAACAGTCAGTCAGTCAAACGGTTAGGTAAACCTTGGCTTCGTTATGTTTTTAGTCGCATTTAAGACTAAACTCACGCCAGGCGTTCTACCACTGATCACACATTTTGAGCATAAATATTAAAGAGAAGTACAAATTTGCTGCTCTTGGGCATAAAATGAACTTTACCTATGCTCTCAGCAGTACAGGGTAAAATATTCAGCATAAACCATTCCATAAGTAAAAAAAAAAAAACAAAACAAAAAAAACAAACTTTACTTAAAATTTTAAGAACTTGAAGTATTCTAAAGTATAGGCGGTACGAGAAAGTGACCTGATCAGCAAGTACACAGTATACTATGCGATGGCTTCGTTTACGTACCGGGTAAGCTTGCGCATTCGGGATGGTTGGGCTATTAATCATATAGCATATCATTAGTGAGAAGGCAGCAGAGAGCAAGATGCGGCAACGCGGTTGAAATTGCGTTGAGAGCTTTAAACAAATTATGGCGTTATGGTTGCTAATGTTTGGTATTTTTTTGCTTTTAAAAGTAAAGTTTTTCGTCTTTAATCAGTTGTTCGTGAT